TATATTTATATTGTTATAGCACCCAACTTGTTAAATTCATTTAATATGAATTTTATAGATGATAGCTGGTTAAAATAACTAAATTAATAAATATTATAAGTTAAATGTGAGTTGGGGTTTTTAAATATTACTCAACTCGGTTAAATAAAATTAATGGGTCGGGCATGAGGGCCTCTTACCCAATCCAACATGGTTGACTTTTTTTCATCGATGTTTTGTTTTTTCTTTCTTGCTCATTTTTTATTTTTAGTGTTTTTATTCAATTATATTATTTAATAATGGGTTTGTATTCAATTTTATTCTTTATTATTGAGTTAACAGTAAATCAATTGTTATATTTTTTTATCATATAATAAATTTTAAAAAATAAATAAAATAAATAGAGTTCATAATTTAAGTCACGAGTTTAACTAAATATTAATCAAAGAGTTGGGATGGGATTTGGATTTTTTTATCGTTTTTTATATGTTCTAGTTTTTTTTTTCCAATTCCATCATTTAGTATGTGATTTTCATTGAATTTTATCTTTTAGTATTGAATTAATAATAAATCAATATTCCTATTTCTTATCATTTAATAAAATAAAAAACAAAATTGATCAACAAGAGTCCATAACTCGGATCATGAGTTTGACAGGTTGACTAAATATTAATTAAAGAGTTAGGTCGAGAAATTTTGGCCCTTTTGTCTGTATCTTTTGTTTTTTTTTTTCATTTCCATAATTTAATGCAAGAATCTTATTCTTGAGTGTTAAGTTGATAGTAAATGAATTTTTGTATTTGCTGTTATAAAATAAAATAAAATAAATAAATTCAAGTACATGAAGTCCATAACGCAGGTTGTCAATTTGGTAGATAAATTAGATAATAATTAAAGAGTCGAGTTAAAATTTTAAAGTATGAACTGTTATACTAAAATTTTAAAGTATGAACTGTTATACTGAATATAATGATAATGCTAAAAAGTTTTTGACGATATGAGATTTTTATATGTTCCAAAATTTTACATCCAATCTGCAATGAAAGCATGAGTGATAAATTAGTTAAAACCTTAAAAAAAAATATTTCTAGTAAAAACAAAATATAATTAAATATTTAACCTTGATTTTTCTTTTTATTTTATATGTTTTTTATTTATCTTATCTTAAAGGTTAATTTTGGTTGTCAAGAACAATCAAGTTTTGTTCTTGTAATGTCATTATACAAATACAATTTATTTGTATAAAATAAAAAATCACTATAATATATTCCAAACATTAAAAAAATATTAAAACAATTAAAATTATTAGTTATTAAAAAAATGAACGAAATAGGATAAAAGATATGAAAGAGAAGAAATTAATCAAAATTTAAATAAAAAATAATGAAAAGTGAAAAATAAATAAAGAGAGAGAGAGAGAGGAGCTCAGTGAAAAATAAATAAAGAGAGAGAGAGAGGAGCTTTTAATTAAAACAAAAATAAAAAAAATAATCAAAAGAAAGTTAAAGAAAAGAGGCTAAATGCTTTTGGTCCTAGCAGTCAGACCTGTGCCCTAAACAGGAATGAAAAAGCTTTGGTATGCTTGAACATAAGAGGTTATGTTTGCTCGCTTGACTGAACTTTTTATTAATAGAGTAGACAACACGCTATACACTATTTTTTTAAAAAAAATAAAAACTATTTCATTTTTTATTTTAAAAAATTAATCTTCAATCCCTAGAAAGTTGAGATTTGAGCTTTTGAATCTAATAAATTTACTTCTTGTTTTCCTTTAAAAACATTATGAAACCTTAATAATCTCATTTTAAATTTCAAACATCCTCTAATCACTTTAAAAACTGAAAATCACTTGTAAAAAACATTTGTGGACCTAAATCAATTTTTTCCAATATGATTGACACCACATTCATTGAGCATCATCACTCTAAAAGATGAACTCATGGACATCAATATTAATTTTTTATAGTTGAAATAGAGCTTTCCATGCACTTACCTTCCCCTTTATATATAATTTCAGTTTCATTCTTTAGATTTTATTTAATTAGAGATTTGAATCCAATTTTTTTTTCCAATATAATTGACATCATATTCATTGAGCACCACTCTAAAAGATGAACTCATCCAAATTTTTTTTTCCAATATAATTGACACCATATTCATTGAGCATCACTCTAGAAGATGAACTCATGGGCATCAATATTAATTTTTTATAGTTAAAATATGGCTTTCCAAACCTTTACCTTCTCCTTTATATATATTTTCAGTTTCATTCTTTAGATTTTATTTAATTAGAGATTTGGATCTATTTTTTTCTATGATTCTTTACTAATTTTTAATAAAACATGGATTAGCTCACATTTATTTATTTATTGTTCTTTATCATTATTATTATTTTGAATTTAGCCTATTTTATTAGGTCTATGTGCAAATTGAGTGGACCATTTTGTTTTGTGTGAGCATGGAGAGAATGTAAAAATACGAGAAATAATTCAAAAGCATATTACTTTGGAGGGAAAATCTAAGAGTGTTAAAAAAGATCAACTTATCCATCGCATTTTTATTATATTATAAATCAAATGTGAGTTGAGATTTTTAAAAACAGCTTAACCTTTAAGGTTTTTAAAAATACCTTTAAGGTTTTTAAAAGATATTATAAGATAATCTTCCTAGTAAAAGTATACATGCACATACAAATATTTAATCTTGATTGTCCTTTTCACTATATATATATATATATACACACACCTTAAAGGCTTGATTGTCCTTTTCACTATATATATATACATACACACACCTTAAAGATTAATTTTGAACAAACAATTTTAAATTGTTCATGTAACGTCATTATACAAATAAAATTTATTTATATAAAATATAAAATCTAAAAAAATCACTATAAACTATTTAAAACATTTAAAAAATATAAAAACAATTAAGAAGATAAGTTATTATTTTAAAAAATGAATAAAACAATATAAAAGAGAAGGTATTAATTAAAATTTAAATAAAAAATTAAAAAAAAATAGAGAGAAGATATTAATTAAAAATAAAATTAAAAATTAATAAAAAAAGGGGGCCAAACACTTTTGGACCTAGTAGTTACATTTGCACCCTTGACCATAAATGAAAAGGCTCTAGCATGCTTGGGTCTAAAAAATTAGTTATGCTTGTTTGACTGATTATTTTTAAATAAAGCATACAACAAATCATTTACTCTATTTTTTTTATTTGAAATGAAAGACATGTCATTCTTATAATGGATTACTTGACCAAACAATTTTCTGTTCATCTTTGATTTTTGAAAAGTTGAGGTTTAAGCTTTTGAATTTAACGAATCTATTTTTTATTTTATTCACATAAAAACATTATAAAAGCTTTAGTAAACCCATTTCAACTTGTAAACACCCTCTAATAATTTTAAAGAACAAAAATCACTTGAAAAAAAAATTTACAAACCCAAATCAGTTTTTCCCAACATGATTAAATAGAAACACCATATTCATTGAGCATCCCTCTAGAAGATGAACTCATATACATCAAATATTAATTGTTTTGGTAACTAAAATATGGCTTTCCAAGGCTTTCTTTCCCCTCTATATTTATTTTTTAGTGATTGTCACTTTTCTCTCTCAACATTTAAAGATTGAAATGTAAAATAAATAAGATTTGGGGTTGAATTATAACTTTCTAAAATAATAGGAAATAAATAAACTAAAACTTTAGGGATCAAAGTGAAGTTTTTTATGCCCAAGTCTAAAATGTGTTTGTTTTGTTTTTCTTTTTTCTCTTAAAATTGGTACCATTTCTTTTAATTTCTTTTTTAATTGTAACCTAAGGTTCTATTTTATAAAATTAATTTTGATTAATTATTAGAATATTTTCCAACACTTTGTAAAAGTGAGAGCATGCAAATTGAAATTGAAAAAACTTCAAACACATAAAACCATGTTAATATAAGTGAGATGATGATAATGAAAAACAAAATCAATAAGTAAAATGAAAAAAATTGAAGACTGAAATTTAGAAAAGAAAAACTGAATTGTTCGTATGAATAGTGTCATTATTTTATAATTATAATTTTAAAAATTACATTAACCTAACCTCCTTTTTTTTCCTAAAATATTCTCCGTTACCATTTGGGAAAGGAACTAAATTATAAATTTACAAAAAAAATATAAAAAAATGGACTTGAAACTTCATCACCATTGCAAAGGAGAACTAACTAGAGTTAAACGGAAGCCTAATATATTTCAAAGAAATTGAACAAAGAGAGAAGCGTAAAATGGAAACCTTGGATACCATCTAAATTTGAATTCCAGGAATAGAAACCACAGGATGATGCCTCAAAGCAGTCAAATGAACTTAGCGGGAGGAAACTCTCTCTCTAGCCCCTAAAGTACTCTACTAGAATACACTACTAGAATTCCCTTGAACTTAACTGGGCTAAGTACGTGGATAGTCACAGGAATATTTATAGAATGATGGGATAGCGTTAAGCATAAGAAGACGCTTGAGTTGTGTTGTGTGATCGGCTAGATTAGAAAGCTTATAATTTTTTATCTGCCCTGTTAGATTGTGTTTAAAATTTTTTAGAAGATTATACAGAAAAATCGGCTTTTTATAACTTGTTGAAGATTGGAAGACCACCAAATTAGATTTAGAAGTTATTGTTTTGGGTTAATTTTGTTACTTTTTTTCCTATGTTTTCAAATTTCCTCGTGTGTTTAGGTTGGTTTAATTGTGGTTTTTATGTGATGAATAGAATTCTATGTTACATGTGATTACTGTTTTTTTTCTTGTTGTTTTTGTCTGTGTGACGCAATTTCACAAAATTAAAAGACACTACTTGCTTTGTTGCTTTTCCAGCGACGCTGTTTATATCACACTTAAGAAGTTCTAATGATAGATTCCTAGGAAGTTTTGTCTCCAAAGCAAGGGATAAATTACTATCAAAGAAAAGACTAGGACTGATACCTCAAATAAACCGAGCTTCCAGAGCAATTTATCAGAACCATGTTTTTGTAGATGCAAAGTTTCATGCATTGCCCCTTAAGATGTCTCAGTATTGCAATGCCTTAAATATCATCCAGAAATAAGTAGTTCTTACTTCTTTTCATCCCCTCCTTGTGATTCTAGCTGCATGAGAAACATCTAAATTTTCCTCCCTACTCGGCCTATGCTTTCACAGACTTATCTTCAAATGCCCCAACCTGCTCTTCCATAAACAATAAACGTGCATGCCCCTAACCCTGAAGAGTTCACTTTTAGAGCCTCAAGAACGAAACAAGCCTTTGGCTAATCGAGAAAGGTAATGCTTCACCATTTTTATCTTTGCACAGTTGAATATCATAGTAAACTCTGTCGGGATGCACTCTGAAATGGTTCGGAATTTCAGCTGCAAACTTCGATGATACCATGTAAAATTTTTCTTGCAAATTTTTGCAGGCAGCTGTCAACAACTCAACATAGGTACCGAAATAAAATCATTGAGGAGTGAGAAGATCTACAGGAAAGTTCCACTCTGTCAGGTATGAGAGAAGCTTAATGCTAATATATGTTCTCCTACACCTTACACCACATCTCGTTAGCTTCATAGGTCCTTCTGATTGCTCATTTGGGAAAATTGCTAGGAAACTATTCTTTTCAAAACGATTGAAAAATCACAAACCTTTCTAAACTCCCAACAGAGTTATGTTTGGAGTGCAACTGAGTTCAAAACCTTGCAGCAAACTTTGTTTGTGTAGGATTTGGAAGGGTTTGGGTTCTGAGTAGGTACTCGAATCATGGTTTGTTGAGCTTGGCCTGAAGAATTTATGGGTTTAAAAGAGATATATAATTCGTTGAATGGGATACTTTTCACACTTAGCTTAGAATTCTTTTTCTTTCTCTTTAAGTAGATTCCAATTTTTTTTGTCCTCCTTATTCTTTTCTTCTTCTTTAATGATTCTTCACATAGAAAAGATGGAAAAATCCGAAAGGGATGGTGGTACAAGGAATGTTGATGTATGCGGTCCTTTTCATGGAGTAGATGATCAGGTCACAGTTGATATTGATTCATTGACCTCTTCCGTTGAAAGTATGATGTCCCAAAATCTGATGATGTCTGATAAAGCATGCATCTTTAAAGTGCCCTACATTCTCCGAAGGCACAGCGAAAAAGCTTATACCCCCAACGCATTTTCAATTGGCCCCTGGCACCGTCACCATCCACTGATGAAATCTACAGAGAAAGTTAAACTGAAGTATCTCAAAGGCCTTCTCTGCCGAAGATCTGCGAGCATAACACTGAAGGAGTTGATCAAATCCACCGGGGAGATTGAGAAAGAGGCACGTTCGTGTTATGCTGGACCAATTGATGTCGGTGTGGGGGTTTTTGTCAGAATGTTGGTAATAGATGGTTGCTTTCTTATTGAACTATTTAGAAAGGATCGATATAATCATCTTAGAGAAGATGATGATCCTATCTTCAACATGTCTTGTATGTTGCAGTACCTGTATCATGACTTGATTTTGGTAGAAAACCAAATACCTTGGTTGGTCCTTGAACACTTGTTCAAGATGACCGCGGAACCTGGAAACACGACAACCCTCGCACAACTTGCCCTTCCATTCTTTCGAAACATTTTTCCATCCAATCCACCCTCCAAAGTTCCATCTAACCAAGGACCAAAACATTTGCTTGACCTCTTAAGAAATTGGTTAGTTTTATCATCTGGAGAAGAGAAAGATGGTCAAATCGGATGGGAACTTATTCCTTCCGTCACAAATCTTGTAGACGCCGGAATTAACTTGGAGGTGGGTGAGTCAAGAAGCATCTTGGATATAAAATTCGAAAATGGTGTCCTGGAAATCCCAAAATTGCTAGTTCAGGAGACAACTGAGGTCATCATTCGAAACCTCATCAGCTATGAGCAGTGTTCTCCTAAATGCACTGACAGAATCACTTCATATGCCGTACTCCTAGACAACCTCATTAACACTACCAAAGATATGGATACATTCACCAGTAGTGGAATCATTGATAATTGGTTGAATCCAGATGAGGCAACGCAATTCTTCAACAAGCTTTATCAGGATGCTTACTTGAAAAAATACTATTATCTAGAACTGTGCCAGGACGTGAACAAGTATTACCGGCGCAGGTTTCCAAGATGGCATGCTCTGTTGATGAGAAATTACTTTGGCACCCCATGGGCAATTGTCTCTTTGTTTGCGGCTGCTACTCTTTTGATTCTCACTATTGTTCAGACAATATTTACTATCGTTAAATAAGTTTAAAATCCTTTGATCTTGTTGAATGATGTGATGAGATGCAAAAGTATACATGGTGGACATGCACGCTAGATAAATTTTGGTGGAGCAGATTGTGAGAGCAGGTTTTCATGTAATCTCCACAGTGTTTTGTAAACCCTTCATGGACTAATAAGATCAGTGTATTAAAGAAATTATAATTGCTTTTTGATCAAGGAAATGTCCATTTACAGTAATTTTGAGTTGTACAAGCAGAGAGAAAACTTCAAATTACAGTCCTCACTGAATAGCTTGTAGCGTCCCCTCGAAGAAAAGAACCGTAACTCTTCATCTGATCTCCGACTAAAGGCAGGTTAGATCAATTAGCTATAGCGTTTCTTTTTCTTTTTTGTTTATTGGAAACTTGGGATATCACTAATACTTTTTGCAGACATTCTTTCGTTAGCATACATTACATTCGAAGTAAAGGATAAAATCACTTGGAATTTGTCCCAAAACAAGAGACTTGACTATTCTAATGGTAATAGATTTGCCGTTTTGGACAAAGGAAAGACAGCTGATACGCTCCCTTTTAAAGTTCCTGCATATTTTTGACAGCAGAAGGTTATACTTTTTTTAATCTTATTGAACAACATAACAGAATTTAATCACTTGTTACAAATTGACACGGGCTATATACAGAGAACCATGGAAAAACGTTTTGTAGCTAGAAACCATATTTGCATAGATGCAAACTTCCATTCAAAGGTTCTGGTGTTTCAAATTACTTGAATCCATGAATATGATTTTCCTTCTTTTATCTGCTCAAATTTGGCCATGCCACTCCTTCCACAGGAAATAGATTTCCTGCCTAAATTTTCACTTACTTGACGTCAAGTAGTTCAGCACAATCTTGAAGTCATTTCCCAATTGGTTTGCAAAATGAATGTTTAGATATCTTATTTATTGGCAAGCAAGCAAAGTAACTGGTACCTTTAGTCATATTGCCATTTTTGCTGAAGGTAATGCTCTCTCTCTCTATATATATATATATGTGTGTGTGTGTGTGTGTGTGTGTGTGAATCAAGATCTCCGTAGAGTTAGCTTGAACCACGGGAATCAATTCATATAAGAGGGACAAAAAGGTTCTCCGTAGAGTTCCATTTAAACATATTTCAACCTTATCAGAGACAGAAGATATAGACCCTGAAAAGGAAAAAGAAAAAAAAAAACATTAATTAATAGCTAGAAAAGAACAGTATCCAAAGAGATATTGCAGGGACTTCCAACAATATATATATATATCCTCTATTGTGAACAACACAGGTGAGTAGCCAGGCAAGATAACAGCTGAAATAGTAACTCCATGCTTAAATTATAGGGAAATTTTGATATATTCTGAAAGGTCAATAATTCATAAAACTCTTCTGAAAAATAACACATCAACCATTTTTATAGTATCAAAACCGACCTCGTCTATTTAGAAAGGAAAAAAAAACACCAAAACTAACTAGGAAAATCCAAAAATAGCTAGCAAAATAAAGAAAAATAATATTTTGTGCTTGCTCTTTGATGATTTGACAAATATAGTATTTTTACACAAACTAACTAATATCATGTTTCAAGTAAGGCCAATAATGCATTTTAATGACAACATCACTTATCTACTTTTATTCCAAGTGACCAACTAAGCTTTCTCTATAGAAATCTTGAATCAAGGAATGTAAAAATAATTAAACTTAATGATCTTTTCCCTTAAAGTGATTAGAAATACTTCATTTCTACTCAAAACATTAACAACCATATTCAAGATTCCAGCCCTGCACACAATTCTAACTAAGGATTGCAGCAAGCAATTCACCCGTCTTAATTTTATAATATTATTTATTTGCTTATGTACATGTAGGAATTTTATTGCTTAATGACCAAAATATAATAAAAATCTCTTACCTATGAGATAATGCTTTCACTTGTTCAAAGTTTGAAAAATAACATAAAATTCTTTACCATATATCAACCATTTCAATAGAGAATCATTTAACTTCTCACTATAGAATGTTGCCGCACATGTACAACACCATGACAATCGTCCATCTTCTAGAAAACAAATATAGATATATATTATCTAAAAAAATATAAAGAGATAAGGAATTTTTATCTCTTATAAGTGAAAAATTAGAATAGGAATTACCATCTTATATTCTAGTCACTAGAAATCTTAACTGGTCTTATAGATCGGATACGGAGACTGGTTGCATAAAGGGAAGGTATTAACACTCCAAATACGCCTTACTTAAGGTAAGTTGCATTGTTTTCTCTGATAAAATCTAAAGTCGTGTTGTGGTTTTTAATTGTTAATCTATCTAAGGTTCAAGACAAGCCTTCATTAATAAAAAGATTATTATCTTAATGTTGTAAAACCTAACTATTTTATTATCCAAAAAAAGAATTAAATATCTAAAATATATATTACATGTAATGTCATACCACAGATATTAAGAGATAAACAAAATAAAATTTTTGTTATTTTTGAAATTTTGACCAATGTTCTCTTAACTTCAATAAACTGATTACTAAAGTCAAAATGCATGTTAAAACATTGTTTCTTGGTATATAAAAAACACAATATGATTTTTTAGCTTTGAGATACTTGGTCGTATGCACAAAAATATTTTTTAAAATTTTTTTATATTTTTAGAAGTTTTTTTTTACTAAAAACAGGTATTTTAATACCATATTTGTTTTTTTATATAAAATATAGTTCGATATTGAGCAAAAAAGGAACAAATAAAAAATAAAAAAATAAAAAAAAAATAATTATTTTTTGAAATGAGCTGAACCCTGCCCAAATCAATGGGGTTGGCTGGACCCGGCCAAGCACCAAATGGGCTAGTTACTATGTCTAAGCACAGTAATCAGCCCTCCATCATTTGCTACAAAACGTGAATTAATTCACATTCTAAATGTAAATGCAGTTGATGGCTAAGCAAAAGAGAAAGAGACGGGGCAACCAAAGGTTACCTAGGGGTGGTGTCAAGGCGGTGCTGCTAGCGGTGAAGGCACAGTGGTCAGCAGATTACTCTAGCTTTTTTATTCTCTCTCTCTCTCTCTGTTTTTTGCTCTTTTCTACTTCTTCTTCTCTCTTTTTTCTTTCGGTTTTTTTCCTCTATTTTGCTCTCTCTTCTTTTCTCCTTTCTCGTTTTGTTCTCTCTCGGTCTGTTTTTTTTCTCTCGATCTCTCATTCTCATCTTTTAACTCTCCCCTGTATTTATAGGCAAACCAAAGGAGAGAGAAGCAAGGGGCAGCCACTGTGCAACTACCCATCCAATACATGAAAAGTGGTCAACGTCTTTTTGGAAGGAGTCGGCGTCTTTTTAAGGCTCAAGAGGGAGAGGGAGGTAGTGAAAACAAAGAAGAGAAAAAAAATCTTCTTCCTTTGTTCTCCACACGTCCAAGGGAAGAAGATGATGGTGCCGTTCAAAACGACACCGTTTTGGGTTTTTTTTAATCAACAATGCATGAAACAGCATCGTTTTGGTTAAAACGTGTCGTTTCATTTAAAAGAAAAGGGTAGCAAAATATGTTAAATTTCAAATTGATCCTTAATTTGTAATTTGTTCGATCAAGTAATAAATTACAATTTTAATTTAAAAATCAATGCAATTGCATCTCTACCAAAAATCCAATAGCGGCCCTAAAGTTGGCCGTCTTTTTCACATTGGTCCTTGGTCTTGAATTTATATAACTTAACCCTTAATTGATCAATAAACTTCTATTTTTTTCAATTAGGCTCCTGATTCGGTTTTAATTACACCCTCTCTATTTACACATCTTTTTCAATTTGATCCTTGGTTTCGGATTTCTTCAATGAAGTTTCTAATTGGCCATCAAATTTTAATATTTATGCAATTAAGCCCCTGATTTGACCAAATTAACTCTAAAAAATTATAATTTGACCCAAAACTTTAATTTCTTCCAATTAAAGCTCAAATTAACTCCAAAATTATTTTTTCTTTCAATCAAACTCTCCATAATTCAATTATACCTTTAATAAAATTTAATTCAGTTCATAAACATTTGATTTTGAACTTTTTTTCCTCAAATTGTATTTTCTTTGTCAATAGAGCTATTATCAGTCAATAAAATGCTGTCAAATTTTAATCTTTGTATTTTTAAACTTTCTCAACCAATTTTTGATCACTTTTAGGGCGCTCTGACATCCTTTTTTCACTATTATACTTTTTATAATATTTTATTATTTTTTTGTATTTTATTATTTTTTTAAGAGAGAAAAATGTGAATTGGAGAATAACCCAAAAATGGTTTGTAATAAATGTCATGGGTTTATTTTATTGGGACAATATACCCTTAATTCCTACACCACAAACATCATTCTTGAACTAGTCTTTGGTAATTTTAATGCCTGATGATCAAGTTATAATAGAAATCTCTTACCTATGAGATAATACTTCCACTTATCTGAAGACTGAAAAATAGTATAACACTCCTTATCATACATCAACCTTTTCAATTTAGAATCATTTAACTTCTCACTATAGAATGTCATGTGTATATTTTATTAGGAGAATATACCATTAATTCCGACACCACAAACATCACTCTTGAATTAGTCTTTAAGATTTATATAAATGCTCACCATTTCCATCAGGTTTATATAACTCGTATTCACCTCTAAAATATTCTTTCTCGTATTGCTTCTCAACAATATTGATCAATTTTTATCTCATACAATCATTAGAATGATGCTTTAGGTCCCCATATTTAGTACATTTACCCACAATTAGTTTGATATAGGGATTGTTGGGCTTATTCACATCATTTTATCTTCCTTTTGGTCTATAAGTTTAGCAATATATTTGTTAGCCTTATAACTGCAAAAATGATTTAATGAAGTTTTTCATTATGTTTTAATGATAATATAAACATTGAATAATGATGTTATTAACTAAATAATATTTCATATGTCCATTATAAAATATTGATTGGATATAGTCTTGATAAATACTTACACACCTAACCCAAAACAACTAAAGAAAACCA